CAAATTTTTGGCTTCATATTGTTAAATTATCATTGAATTTTATTTGCAGTTTTTAGAATTAAAAAAAATTACAAGCGGTCAATACTAATCCATTCAAATAAGAATGTTTTCTCATTAAATTAAACGGATTTAATAGAACCTGAATCAAATATATTTATGTATAACTCGGTAAACATCAACATTTCCCGCAAGATGGTTCGTATATATTACTGGATTTCTACCTGAAATAACTTTAAATATTTTGACATCTCCTGAACCTTGATATAAAGTAGGAGTAGTTTCAAAGCCACCTGGATGACTTCGAATATGCTCAGCTCTTATTCCATTGTATATATCATGATTTGAATTAAAATAATTGATTCCAATGTTTGCAGGTCCTCCTGGATGGCTGCCAACAAATCCATTTGGTATAGAATTATAAAAATAATTTCCAAGCTGCGTGTAACTGCTGCCTACTGAGCTAAAACCACCATTGCTGTATATGTAATTTTGTTCTCCACTACCGCTTACTTCCAATATCGTTACATGCACTACGGCCATAAAGAACACTATATTTGCCCATTGCTATCAAGATCACAGACAGAAAAAAATAATTAAAAATACTTCAAGATATAAAACGAAAAATGTACAATTTACCTTCATTTTACGAGGTGTTAGTTGTTACGAATCCAAACCGAATTGAGCTGCAAAAACTTCAAAATTTGATTGATATACATTCATCAAATCAAAAGGTTCATAACTTTATACTGTCAAAAAGAGGGCATTATTTAATTCCGTCTGATCGTTATACGGAGATTAGGGAATAAACAAAAGCGGAATTGCAATATTTCGCCCTGATTATTAAGCAAATTTGTTTGCAACAAGAGAAATGAATATAATATTCAACCCATTCATTCATAGATTTTGTCAAAAGGTGTGTTGATCTATCAAAATCCAATTAACATATATGGTATAGCCTCAAATAATGTTAAACATATCACATTTCATGCATTTCATTAAAAAACAAAATGTTTCGCTTAGATTAAAATCGTCATTGTTAGCGATATAAATGGACATGTATTAAAAATTATAGAAATGTCCCATCCTATTTCCAGTATTTTGAATGTTTCGGCTACATTTTCCTACAAGAGTAAAGAAACAGTAAGGAAAGTAGTAAAGTTGGACTGGGCTGACTATATGATACCCTCCACCACTTTGGGTATATTGTACATATGTATCCTAACATTTAGAGCCGCCTGCGTAACATGGGGAAAATTTATGGAAAACGATTTATAGCAAAATTGATACGCGCTATTCGGTACGCCGTGTTGTTAAAAATATAATCTATATGTGGGAGCTATTTCTAAATCTGAACCGATTTTCACGAAAATTAACACACATCTCTCTAGACTTAATTCAGTACGCTTTACCAAATTTTGGGCAAATCAAAGGATATATAGGAACCTTGGTGCACCATTTACATAAAATCGGACGAATATATATATGGGAGATATGTCGGAATCTAAACCGATTTTCCTGACACTCATCATTCTAGACTCAAATCAGTGCGCTATGCCAAATTTCGTGCAAATCGAAGGATATAAAGGGACTTTGGTGCACTATTTACCGAAAATCGGACGAAAATATATATAAGAACTATATCTAAATCTGAACCGATATCCACGAAATTTAAAACACATCGTTTTAGACTTAATTCAGTACGCTGTGGGAAATTTCGTGCAAATCGAAGGATATATAGGGACGTTGGTGCATCATTTACATAAAATCGGATGAGCATATACATGGGAGCTATATCGAAATCTCGACCGATTTTCCCTTTATACCTAATTTTCCATTCTATACCTAATTCATTACTCTGTACCAAGTTTCGTGCATATCGAAAGATATTTAGGGACCGTTTACATTAAATCGGACAAAGATATATATGGGAGCCAGGGACGTACGCAGGGGGGCGGACGGGGGGGCCGGGAAAAGAATTTTTTCACAGTAAAAGAATTTTTTCACAGTAAATTTTTGTTTCATTTTGTACTACCGGGCAAAGTGGTGAAGGGTATAAATATTCGGGATTCCTTGTTTATAAGAAACATTTTTTTTCAGAAAGGTTTCAATATTGCTTATGTTTTTACATATATTTATACATTACACAACAATGTTGTCAGGGTATTATAGCTTTGTGCTGCCCCAAGAGTTTGTAATGCTGCGAAATATTGGTCCTACGCCCACCTTTAAGTGTACCGATCGTCATATCTCGATTAGCTGAGTCTAGACATGTGTCCGTCCGTCCGTCTGTCCATTATAATTTGCAAACAGATCCCAGTTATGGGTCAATCTTCACGAAATTTTGCATGTAGAATGGGTTGTGGCCAATGAAGACCCCTATTGCTTTTGTAATGATCCGTTAATAATTATGGGATGAAATGGACCAAATACTCTAATTTTCAGGTCGCTCCAGAGGCCGCAAATTTGGCCCAAAAATAGCGAATTTTTACATGGAGAAGGGAATCGGGCTAAAGAATAAACATGCCTGTTTTGATAAAGATCGGTAAATATTTAGCGGACCAAATGAACCCTGAAGGACGTAGACCCGAGAAGTTGATAGTATATCTGAAAGGAGTGGTTGACTTGGGTATATTGTACATATGTATCCCCTCCTAAGAACATACGCAAGTATTTCTGCAACCTATGATAAATTTAATTTCATTCGGGCAGATTTAAAGTCGACTTCGTACCATGGGACAAATTTATGAAAAACGACTTATTAATACATGCAATTCGCTTGCCGCACTGTTAACATTTTAATTTCATTCATTTTGGTGCACCATTGACCTTAAAAAGACGAAACTATATATGGGAGCTATATCTAAATCTGAACCGATTTTCTCGAAGCTTGGCACACATCATTCTGGACCTAATTCAGTACGCTATGCCAAATTTCGTGCAAATCGAATGATATATAGGGACTTTGGTGTGCCATTTACCGTAAATCGGACGAAACTATATATGGGAGCTATATCTAAATCTGAACCGATTTTCTCGAAACTTGGCACACATCATTCTGGACCTAATTCAGTACGCTATGCCAAATTTCGTGCAAACTGAATGATATATAGGGACTTTGGTGTGTCATTTACCGTAAATCGGACGAAACTATATATGGGAGCTATATCTAAATCTGAACCGATTTTCTCGAAACTTGGCACCCATCATTCTGGACCTAATTCAGTACTCTATGCCAAATTTCGTGCAAATCGAATGACATATAGGGACTTTGGTGTACCATATACATAAAATCGGACGAAACTATATATGGGAGCTATATCTAAATCTGAACCGATTTTCTCGAAACTTGGCACACATCATTTTGGACCTAATTCAGTACTCTATGCCAAATTTCGTGCAAATCGAAAGATATATAGGGACTTTGGTGCCCCATTTACCTTAAATCGGACGAACCTATATATGGGAGCTATATCTAACTGTGAACCGATTTTCTCGAAAATTGGCACACATCGTTCTGCACCTAATTCAGTACTCTATACCAAATTTCATGCAAATCGAAATATATAGAGGGACTTTGGTGCCCCATTTACCCTAAATCGGACGAAAATATGTATGGGAGCTATATCTAAATCTGAACCGATTTTTATGAAATTTTACACACATCATTCTAGACCTAATTCATTACGCTGTGCCAAATTTCGTGCAAATCGAAAGATATATAGGGGCCGTTTACATTAAATCGGACGAAAATATATATATGGGAGCTATATCTAAATATGAACCGATTTTTTCCAATTTCAATAGGGTTCGTCCTTGGGCCAAATAAGTGGCTTGTGCCAAATTTCATCCAAATCGGATCATGAATGCGACCTGTACTTCGTTTACAATTTAACATCTACAGACAGACGGACGGCCGGACGGACGGACATGCATAAATCGACTCAGAAAGTGATTCTATGCATATTCTCAAAAGGAACCATGTGTCTATCTCGTTTCCTTTTGACTGTTACAAACATATGCACAAAGACATAATACCCTGTACAACAGTGTGGTGAAGGGTATAAATATAGCGCTGATATCTTTAAAATTCTCCATGAGGATCCACGTATAGGCAAGGATATCCTTAAATATTTATACGAGCTTACGTATTCAAAAATATAGCGCTGATCGCTTTGAAATTCTCCATGAGGATCCACGTATGGTCAAGGATAACGCCTATAATTTTCGATGATGATAAGATTATAATATTGTGATGAAGTGGAGTTAACTTAATTTTTGTGTGTTTTTCGAGTCGATCACAACACAATCCACGGTGAGGGGAATCTGGACAGATAATTAGAAGGACTGTACTGAATATTAGTAATATTTGTTGATCTCTAGACGGTCAAGAGGGTGCAAATATCGCGAAATATTGCCCATGCTCAGAATATAGAACCACAGAAAGTTGGATTTTCGTGGAAGTTGTATAGGATATCATATGGTCGACCCCGTCCGACTATATTGCTCTGCTCATTGGTTTTCAATCCTTGTTTCTTCACACATTATAATATTTTAAAAAGTCGTACGAATTTCATTACATAACTTTTGCTGATTCATGTTTGTGGTCGGAATTGAATTTATATACAACAGAGTCAGACTAATCCATGACACTTGAGCTATTTCATAACAGCTTAAAACCGATCATTTACATCCAGATGATGGATTAAGCGTACAACAATTTATAACACACACAAATACATTTTTTTTAATTTTTATTTTTTTGGTCAACAATAAAAAATGAATAACAACATTAACAACGTCTACTAATTAAGGCTTAAAACTAAAACAACAAAATATCTGGTCAAAACATACCAGACTATTTCTTGAGTGTGTGTCGACATAGATGACAATGGTATGCTCATGGGATGGCCAGTATTCAGGAAGAAGAAGAAATATATTACAACAGGAAAATTGATAGAAGAGTGTGACTAATACTTCATGTGTACTGGCGTCGAAGACAATTACCAACCATGGCTGGGAGCGGAGGACCAGCCACCAGAACTATAACCACCAGCATAGCTGCTAGCACCTGAGTAACTGCTGGCACCACCAGAGTAACCACCAGCACCGCCTTGGCTAATAACTTTCACAATTTTAACATCACCACCGCTGGAATGGCCACTGGAGTAACCACCAGAATAACCGCCGGAATAACCACCAGAGAAGCTACCGCCATGACCAGCAGAGAAACCAGCATCGTGGCCACCAGCAATACCACCATTTTCATGGATAACTTTAATGATTTTGACACCGCCAGAGGAGTGACCACCGGAAGAAAAGCCGCCAGAGTATCCACCGTAACCACCAGCAAAGCTGCCACCATGGCCGCCAGCAAAGCTACCTCCATGACCGCCAGCGGAACCCTGAGAAATTACTTTGACAATTTTAACATCAGCAGCAGCTCCGGCACCAGCTCCATGACCACCAGCATATCCTCCATCTAAGCCTCCGTCAAAACCTCCACTATAGCCACCACTGAAACCAGCATCAAATCCGCCACCATGACCTCCGCTGAAGCCAGCATCGTAACCACCATGATCGCTACCACCTTCGTGAATGACTTTTACAACACTGCCGGCAGATGAGTATCCGCTGCCACCGCCAAAGCCACCACTGCCTCCATGACCACCTCCTACTCCATAGCTGTAGCCACTACCACCACTACTGTAACTGCCTCCATGGCCACCGGAACTGCCTCCACCAATGCCCAAAATGCCAGCATGAGCAGCTGCTACCATTGCCAAAACACACACAAAGACCTGAAATGAAGATGCGGATACATGATAGACACTAGTCCTCAATGTGATCTTCTTTATGTCCAACTCACCTTCATTTTGTTGTCCGTTAAGCTTAAATACGTTTCACCACAATCTCTGTAGACGAAGTTAACCAAACAGTTTAGTTGGGAAGTGAATTCCGATAACTAACTGCCCAATGCAAAGTGACCGCAACTTTTATACTGCCAAAAAATTTGGGCAATAAAACCAAAGTCAAAATAGATGTAATAATGGCATTACGGGAGAGATAACAAAGCATACATTGCAAGACGTCATCATCATCATCACCCGAATACATAGAGACAGACGCACACCATAAAAATCGGGCAACAGGGCAATTTAACATAGCACCACACACATACAGTCATACACTGTACAAATTTTTTGTTGAACATCATTGGGCTGGTTAACCCAAAGTGAAGGTAACCCAAAAAAAAGAAGAAGAAGAAAACGAAAGTCTTTACCACCATGATGATTGAACATAAATTTCAGAGTATGTCAACAACATTAAATTATCTTTTTAATCTCCAACACGAAATGTTACACTGTCGGCCATTTTACTAATTAGTCATATTTGGATGTTTTGCTTAACGATAGAATTGTAAATGGTAATAATTGTTGCTTTTTGGGTATTAATTAAAAATAGGCTAGACTATATAAGGAAAATCAGTAAATTAAAATAAATAAAACCAGTGAGCTGAGCAGTATAGTCGGACGGGGCCTACCATACGATACCCTACACAACTACCACCGAACTCAAATTTTCTGCGAATGTTTATTCCGAGCCTGGGCAACATTTCGTGATATTTGCATCATCTTGTCCGATTAGAGGTAAACAGCACCTCTTCCTCACGCTGACATATTTTCGGAATATTACTAGTATTCAGTACAGCTATTGTCCAGATTCCATTCACCGTGGGTTGTGTTGTGATGTTCGGATTTCATTTGTGGTCTATTATCGACTCGAAAATAACACAAAAAATTAAGTTTTCGGTCCACTTCATTCCAAAATTATTATCATCACCGAAAATTATAGGCGTTTTCCTTTACCATAACTGGAACCTTATGGAACATTTCAAAGCGATCAGCGCTAAAGTTCCGCGCTCTAGAGTGATAATGGGTTAATAAATAATATACGGATACGGAGATACCTGTAAATATTTAGGTGTAACTTCCACATCCGAGCACATACAACAATATAATTGGTATTAATTTAAAGGTCAAGCACTGCTCTTGGATATAATATCAACTTCTCGGGTCTATGTCATTCAGGGGTAAATATATACCCTATAGAATACAAATTTTGTCATTTTTCACACAAAAGTCAGGGTCCATTTGACCCGCTAAATATTGACCAATCATTATCAAAACAGGCATGCTTATTCTTTCGCCCGATCCCCTTCTCCATGCAAAATTTCACGATGTTCGGGCCATTATTGCGGCGTCTGGAGCGAGCAGAAAAACCGACAAAAATTTAGTATTTGGTCCATTTCATCCCCTAAATATTAACCGATCTTTCCCAAACACAATAGGGGTCTTCATTGGCCAGAACCCATCCTACATGCAAAATTTCGTGAAGATTGGTCCATAACTGTGGCCTGTATCGTGTTTACAAATTATAATGGACAGACGGACGGACGGACGAACACACATGTCTAGATCGACTCAGCTAGTCGAGATATGACGATCGGTATACTTAAAGGTGGGTCTAGGACCAATATTTCGCGGCGTTACAAACTTTTGGGGCTGCACAAAGCTATAATACCCTGACCACATAGTTGTGTAGGGTATAAAAACTAATATGCGAGTATAATAATAATTTTTTCTTTGGTCGTGTGATGAAGAAAATATCGTGTTCGTGTCTTAAGTCTTTTGTTTTTCACCAGAATATATCACTTTTAATAGTCAATTATAAAAAAATATGCCCTATATCACGGTACGTAAAGGATATTATGCATTTGTGCTCTTGTTTTTATCGTGAGTCTATTTATTGATGTCCCTCCGTCTGCCAGCCTTCACAACACTGTGGTACATGGCATTATGCCTTCCGACATATCTTTGCAAAATGCAAAAGGAAACGAGATAGCCCAATGGTTACTTTTGAAATCATGCATATAATAACTTTCTAAACCAATTTATGCATGATCATCTGTCCGTCTGTTAAATTGCTCAGATATATAAATATAGACCAATTCGTCTGATTTTATGTAAATGGTGAACCGAACACCAAAGGTTTGTCCGAGTCATCCAACATTAAGTACAAATTGTCGTAGGTTAGTATGTTATGTTGAAATCGGGTCATGTTTAGATATAGCTCCCAATTATATATTTTCGTCCATTTTTATGAAAATGGCACACCAAACTTCAACGATTTGTCCGATTGAACTATGGGCCAGGAATCCAATTTTTTGGGAAAAAGTTCATTTCAGGTAGAGCCGATAAAACGTTATATATTTAAAATCTGGGGCTTTGAGCTTTACACCAGTAAAATTGTATAACCTTATGGGTCACGATTTACCAATGACATGTGATCAAAGTCAAAATTTCATATTTATGAAGATGAAACCTAGTGACAGATAGAACAATGCAGGATAACTTTAACTGGCACAAGGTCAGCAGTTAAAGTCGGGAAATACCTTTCGGAGCCCTTCAATACTACCCGTGCTGGTGTATGCTTCTGAAGCATGGGTATTTGCGAAAGCAGATGAGGCAGCTCTTGGAGTGTTTGAGAGAAAAAATCTCCGGAAGATCTATGGGCCGATCGGCGTCGACGGTGAATATCGCTGTTGAATGAACAACGAGCTTTACATAAAATCATTTCATTTACATAAAATCGGACGAAACTATATATGGGAGCTATATCTAAATCTGAACCGATTTTCTCCAATTTCAATAGGGTTCGTCCTGGGGCCAAATATATGAACTGTGCCAAATGTCATCCAAATCGGATCATAAATGCGACCTGTACTTTGCTCACAAAAATACATGGAGCGACGGACAGACAGACATGCGTAAATCGACTCAGAAAGTGATTCTATGCATATTCTCAAAAATAACCATGGGTCTATCTCGATTCCTTTTGCCTGTTACAAACATATGCACAACGACATAATACCCTGTACCAAAGTGTGGTGAATGGTAAAAAAAATCGCATATAAAACTCAAAATGTAATTTTTTCTAAAAATTTTGCCAAGCGATCGCCTGCGACAAAATTGCCTTTAACAATTCGAACCAAGAACTATCAACTTAGTTTTCGGGCTAGGCCACACATAAACGGACCCCAATATTCGGTAGATTGGGGATTTTGGGCACGTTTTTCAACCAAATTGGCTATAATTCAAATTTAATCAAGGTATGCCATAGTTATAAGACCCAGAAATAAATTATTTAGTTTTTTTTTAATTTAATTCACAATTTTGAAACCACTTTACTTGATTTTCAACATCGAATTTCACATTTGTAATTAGTGGCCGTAGCTCTACAAAACGTTCTTAAAAATAATAAGATTTTATCAACGTTTAAAAAATCTTAAGCCACTTTCAACGATTCTAATATGCTTCATCGCTGAAGAAAATTTACGACGGTGTGAACGATCATATGGTTCTAGTTTATGCGTAAGCTGGACTTTATATGGACAGAGTTGTAGATCTAAATGCAAAATAGGTCATAATGTGCCATAATATAGTCGTATTTCCTGAGAATGACGAGAAATATAGCAGCGACATTTTGAGCGGAACGAGCAAAAATATGATGCACAGGTCTTGCAGTATTATAACCGTTTCAATATTTTTCCATATAAACCAGAATCGCCACTTTTTTGTAGAAGGGTTTAATATTTTTGATGCGTTGTGAAGATAGTTAAGCGATCAATTTTCGTCAATGTCAGTCTTTCAACTGAAAAGAAAAAAAAAATGGTTAAACAAATTAGTTTGAATGATGTAAAATTTCAGTGCCACAATTTTGAAACCACGAAATGAATAAACATGTATATATGTATCTATATCAACTAACAGGCGGACGAGCAACGAGATGGAAAAAGCTTAAAATATACCCAGAATGTTATTATAATATGTATATGTTTTGCGGTATTGCAAGCGGAATGACAAATCAAATAAAACAAATTAAAAGCGAAAAGTAACGGAAATCGATGTTGATTTGATAATTTGCCTCTTGGTATTTATGAGATGCGAGTTATCTGATTAATAATATCGGGTTTGTCCTTCTAATCAATCATTAAAGTTTGCATTTTTATACCCTTCACCACACTGTGGTACAGGGTAATATGCATAGAATCACTTTCTGAGTCGATTTATGCATGTCCGTCTGTCTGTCCATGTTAAATTGTAAACAAAGTACAGGTCGCATTTATGATCCGAATTGGATGAAATTTGGCATAGGTCACTTATTCGGCCCAAGGACGAACCCTGTTGATATTGGGAAAAATCGGTTCAGATTTAGATATAGCTCCCATATATATATTTAACCGATTTAATGTAAACGGTCCTTATATATCTTTCGATTTGCACGAAATTTGGTACAGCCTAATCATTTAGGTCTAGAATGCTGTCTGCCAAGTTTCGAGAAAATCGGTCCAGATTTAGATATAGCTCCCATATATAGTTTCGTCCGAGTTCATGTAAATGGTGCCCCAAAGTCCCTATATATCTTTCGATTTGCACGAAATTTGGCATAACGTACTGAATTGAGCCTAGAATGATGTCTGCCAACTTTCGAGAAAATCGGTCCATATTTAGATATAGCTCTCATATATAGTTTCGTCCGATTTCATGTAAATGGCGCACCAAAGTCCCTATATATCCTTCGATTTGCACGAAATTCGGCATAACGTACTTAATTGAGCCTAGAATGATGTCTGCAAAGTTTCATGAAAAGTGGTCCTGATTTAGATATATCTCCCATATATAGTTTCGTCCGATTTCATGTAAATGGTGCCACAAAGTCCCTATATATCGTTCGATTTGCACGAAATTTGGTACAGCCCAATCATTTAGGTCTAGAATGATATCTGCCAAGTTTCGTGAAAATCGGTCCAGA